ATGGGGTTGCACTTCCCCATTTGAAACTTGTGTGCAGTCTGGGGGCCCTCTCACAGAGCAAGTGGAAACTATGGCCAAGAGGACTTTGCACAAATACATCTTGTGTGCCAGTCTGCGCTCTTTCCTAGACCAGGAGGCCCTTCATGCCCTGGTAATCCCATCTCACAACTGAATTACTGTAACATACTCTACATGAGGCTGCCCTTGAAGACCTTTCAGAAGATACAGCTGTTCCAGAATGCAGCAGCACGGGCAATGATGGGGGCACTATGTTATGCCCATGTGAACCTGCTGCAGTTGGCTTCTGGGTGTAATTCAAGGTTCCTGTTATCACCTTTAAACCCCTTCATGGCCTGGGGCCTGGCTATCTAAGGAACTGCTTATCCCCAGTTCTCTGCCTGTCTAGTTTGGTCCAGCAGGATGGGTGTGCCTTGTTACCATAAATTAAACAAAGTTATCTTGCAGGACCCAGGAAGCATACCTACCCTGTTGCAATTCCTGTCTCTGGAATGATCTCCCCCCAGAGATCTGTGTGACTCCCACACAACATTAGACATTATCTAATCCAACTTTCTGCTCAAGGCAGGATCCACTAAATCTGAAAGTACAATTCTCTTGTAAAGTCTCCTTTACAGCCCGAGAAACTAGGGAGGGTCCCTTCTGAGCCTCTTGTCCTGCCCAGTTTCCAGCTGTGGGCTCAGCTGCCTCTTATCTGACCCTTCCGTAGGCAGCGTCTCTTTGCTCCATCTCTCAAGGTCTTTCCCACATACCATTACAGTGATTTTATTAGCAGTAGATTTTGCTTGCTCAGCTTTTAAAGGATGGACTACTTTGTGTAGTGCAGCAAATTGTTTGCAACATTTTCTTTCACTGTAATTACCGGTCTTTCTTTCTTATTATACCTATTTTCTACTTGATTTTCTTTACAGCTCAAGCATGAGACTATCGCTATGTGACAGTATTATGTAAATATTTTAAATGTGTCTGAATACCCGAAGGTACTTTGAGCTTAAGTTTTGACACAGCTCTATAGAAGCAAATGTAACATTCAGAATGAGGTGGCCATATATTCCTTCTTGCTTCTTCTCTGGCAAAAAAATTTAGACGTACTTGAAAGAGACGGGAATTCAAATGAATGTATCTCCAAGAGATGCTTGTCTTGGAGCTGAAAACAGTCAGAAAAGAGAAGTGCGTCCTCTGCGTCAGAGGATGACTCAACCGCTGACCTGCTTTCTCAAAGCTTTCCCTAATATTTGGTCAGAATCTGCCTTCCCTAACTTTAACTCATTAGCTGGTGTCCTGCCCCACAAGCCTGGTCATCTTGGCAATGTCATTCTAGGTGCTTCGGGAAGGCACTTTCTGATCAACTCGGAGCAATAATAAGTAGGGTTTCATGGCAGGAGAAGCAAGAAAAGGAGTTCAAGATGGGCAGGCATTCCCAAAACCGGAAATATTAAAGGCACAATTCCAAACAATTCCTGCAAGCATAAAATGGAAGACAGGAGCAGACAGTGTGACTGTATAAACTAACTCAACAAAGATAGAAAACCCCAAAAGATGGAAAAGAAAGGTCTCCAGTAAAGAGCAGCCTGGAACTGCAGAGTCTCTCATGCCATGTAATTATAATATTGCTGTAGCTGTCCTTGGTAACATCATCTGTCCTGCTGGATTAGCAGACATAGAGAACTGTTGGGGGACTTGCTACATCTTGGAAGTTACCCTGCAACCTTTCATGCTACCCATGCTCCTGGCTGAGTTCATGAGCCAGTGGTATGGTTAGCACACATTTGTTTCTGTTCCTTGTAGTAGTCAATTGTTAACTATTACAGCTCTTCTCTGGGCAGGGCTCAGTAGTGTACCCTGTGCTCTTTAGAGATCAACTCTGTCATTCAGGGTTTCTTTTTCTTTCGCTAAAAGCCCAAAGCTTGTCTGTCCTGCATGAACCTTAAAGCTCTTTCTAGGTTCCACCAGTAGAGATGTGTCTTCTTTCCTTGCTGTAGTCTATGGAGAGTTGCTTCCTCCATCAGCTGCTATTATAGACTTTTTATTTGGCCAAATGAATCTTTGTTCATTGTTCCAATCCTGGTGCATTTTTGTTCATGAACTACTATAAAGTTGCATTTGCTGCAAAATACACACCAGACTATATTCAGGAAGGAAAAGAAACATGCCATAAATATTAGAGATCATGGTTGTGGTGTCATGTTCCCTGATTATTACTTCTGTTTCTTAAGGTACACCAGGAGAAAGGCATCTATTTCTTCCTGCTTCCTTCTCAGCTTTGCAAATTGGCAAAATACTTACTGTTGTTATCTCTCCTGCCCAAATCCTTTAAGCTTTTTTATTCACTCACTCAGTGAGCTCATTTCTTGGAAACTGCCTACTTTATATTCCACCTGCAGTCTTTCCAGTAGCTCCTGCCCAAATCCTTTAAGCTTTTTTATTCACTCACTCAGTGAGCTCATTTCTTGGAAACTGCCTACTTTATATTCCACCTGCAGTCTTTCCAGTAGCTCCTGCCCAAATCCTTTAAGCTTTTTTATTCACTCACTCAGTGAGCTCATTTCTTGGAAACTGCCTACTTTATATTCCACCTGCAGTCTTTCCAGTAGCCTCTGCTTCCTCAGCAGGAAGCAGTCATTTAATCACCCAGAGTGGGCAATCAAACAGCTCTACAGCATACCCCTCGCAATCATATCCAGGCAATGGCTTTTTCATAGCATACAGTCCTTCCTGGTTACTCTCCTGTACTCTTCCTGTTGAACCCCACTACCAAACTCCTGTTAGCACGTCCTCTTTGCAAGCTCAGTCAGCTCCCTGGAGGGTTCACACAGCATGGACCGTCAAACAGAACAGAATACTGAAACATTACAAAGTGTCTAGAATAATTAGACCTCTAACATCTGAATTATTTCAAGAAGTCTTAGGCAAAAACTTGTACTGTACAGCCGTAAAAATGATCACATGTGTTCAAAGTCACACAACAGTATAGAATCGGGATAAGGTGGAAAATAATTACTGAGCATGAAAACATTTCAGAGTTTCAGTCAACACTGAGCTACTTTCCAAAGAACTCTGAGTAATCAAGTAAGGCTACAGAATAACTTAGGCCATGCGGTCTGCATTTATATCTAACAAGATGCCACTTCAAACATCAATGGTTTTCAAGCTTACTGAGTTAACAGCCAAGGTTTCTGCCAATGACCACTGGTGTTGGGTTGTGGTGCTCAGAGAGAGCACCAACTGCCCGATGACGTTACTTGCCCTGGCCATGAACCGCCTGCAGGAGCAGAAGCAAGCTTAGAGAACACCAAGAACCCAGCAATTCAACCTGAGCTACACGCATTTTCCACCAGGACGGTGTTCCTCAACCGCGGCGACTTTAAGATGCGCGGGGTTCAAGAATTCCCCAGCCAGCATTCCGGGAGTTGAAGTCCACAAGTCTTCAAGTCGCCAGGCTGGGAAGCACCGCAGCGGGGCAGCCACCGGCGCGACAGGATGCGCTAAGCCGGGCCTCCAAACACACCGGCGGGGCTCCCCTGCGGCGCTGCCCAGAGGGCCCCGTCAGCAGGAGCAGACGCGACGGCACCTGCCCGCTTTCAGGGCAGGTTAACTGAGGGTCGGGCGGCAGGCCAGCTTCATTCGCCACCCCCCTCCGCATACAGACGCCCTCCGAGCACCGCGCGACTGAGTCCCGGCCCCGCTCCCCAGCAGGACACCGGAAAGGAGCTGCTTTCTGTCGGGTCTCTCCGCGCCCCCTCCCCGCCCCCGAGCCAGGGACCGTGCGCCCGCCCCCGCGGCCGCCCCCGCCCCCGGCGGGGAACGAGCCCCCACGGA